TGTTATGTTTGAGCCCATTGATGCTGCCACTGTGTCAATCCATCTCACTGGGGAGGGGGGGTGTCTCCCTCATTTTCTTGACCCTCTACTTTACCAAACATGATTTCCTTCTCCACTGACTGGTCCCTCTTGACAATATGTCCGAAGTACGAAAGACGAAGTCTGGTCATCCTGGTTTCCAAGGAGCACTCTGGCTGTACTGCTTCCAACACAGATTTATTTATTCTTTTGGCAGTCCATGGTACTTTCAATATTCTCCTCCAACATGATAACTCAAATGCATCATTTCTTCTGTGGTCTTCTTATTCACTATCCAACTTTTCGCATATGAGGTTACTGAAAATACCATGGCTTACGTCAGGCATACCTTAATCCTCAAACTGACATCTTTGCTCTGCAACACTTTAAAGAGGTCTTGTGCAGTAGATTTGCCCAATGTAATATATCTTTTGATTTGTTGATTGCTGCTTCCATGAGAGTTGATGGTTGATCCAAACAAAATGAAGTCACTGACAACTTCAATCTTTTCTCCATTTATATGGATGTTATTTATTTTAAAGTGCTTATTACTTGGCAATTTCATCAATAACAATCAGGCCCAAGAACAGTGCTCAACAAACTCCCCAAATCCTATGACCTTAATATTTAAAGGAGACATTAGAGGTCACCATCTAACTTCCTATCCATGGCTATCCCTTCATGGTCCCCTGTGATCTGAACACACAATGGAGACCTCATTAGGGAGGCTGGCCATTGAGATATCCTCTAATTGAGACATCCTCCTGCTCTAACAGAGGGTCCAATGAGGTGCATGTTACCCACTGGAACTGTGGGTCAGGCTGTAGTTACTGTCTGGAGTACAGGGGGAGTTTGTAGAGGAGAGGTTCTGCATTATCTACACAGGTTGTTTGCCTTTTAATACCTGAGAAATGAAAAGCAGTGAAGAGGGGAACAAGAAGCTACTATCTAGTCTTCCAGGGTAAAGATGATGGAGGTTCCCTATTCTGAGGGGACATTAAAGGCACCAGGAACTTTTAATAAAACACCATACTCAGGTGCCAGCCAAAAACAATTCAGTCAGGATGTGGGGTGTAAGACCTGGCACCAGTATTTTCATCTTAATGCTTCCCAGGTAATCTAATCTGAAGGTCAAGAATTATAGATGCATATGGTTGCTCTTTGACATCCAGAGCTTTGTAAGATGTCTCAAATTTCTGAAACATTTTTCTTTGCTATTTTTAAAACTATTGTCTCCTCTCCACTCAAAATAATCACAAAAATAAAAATTAGGTAGACAAATGTCTTAAATTTGAGGTCATTGAAAGAAAGGGGTAGTAGGGATGGCAGCTGGAGCTAAGTACCCTGATAGTGAAATTCTGAGAAGGCAGTGATCCACTGGAATCATCCAGTCAACTTGAAAAAATTATGAAGCCAGTGTCCATCACTGGAAATTGTTATTGAATTGATCTGAGGTTGGAGCTCAGACATCAGAATTTTTTAATGTTACTGGATAATCCTAATATACAGCAATGGTTGAGACCCACTGGGGTCTCATAAAGAGATAGGAATGGAAGACTGACTTCCTATAGTCATTGGAAAGAAATGAAAGCATGAGGCAATATGGTGGTGTCTGAGAAGTGCGTTCAGTATTTTAGCAGCCTGCAGAGCCACATGACTGTCCTTTGACATTTGGTGGCTGTAAAAGGAGCTCTGGTAGCGTAGTGGTTACGAATCGGGCTGCGAACCTTAAGGTCAGCGGTTCGAAACTACCAGCCGCTCCGCGGGAGAAAGATGAGGCTTTCTACTCCCGTAAAGATTTACACCCTCGGAAACCCTGTACAGGGTCGCTATGGGTCGGACCCGACTCGATGGCACTTAACAACAACAACAACAACAATGTTATATGAGAACATTGGGGCACATATTTGGTTATTGGTAAAAAGGCAACTCATCTCATTGACTGTGACTGACAGGAAGTAAAATTGATGGGAACAGCTGTTAAGTACTCCACACCCCACAAGAATCTCTTCTGTGGACAGGAGCTACTGCATTTTGCAAGGGAAGAGATTTAGATTCACAAGGAAACAGACAAGGAGAGGTTGGAATGAGTACAGTGATTCATTTAAATGGACATTTAATAAATAGTCGTAAAATAATAGCAATTATTTGGAAAACTTTTTTAAATTTCTTATGGAAAAACTCAAAGGTACTGTATCACTACTACTCTTTGGAGACCACTAGTAATATCTTGCTATTTCCTTCTACTTATTGTATGTGCTTCTCTTTGTATTGAGATCAAATTTAATAGTGTTGCAACCTCTGTTAGTAACTTAACATTTTATAGGAATCACCTTGTTTTTTGAAGTTAGTTTTGTTCACAGGAAATTTCTTTTTTTGTTGTTCATGGGAAATTTTGTATATTTTCTAGTTTTTTACTGTTAATATAAAAAGAACTATGTATTGTATATTGATTTTGTCTAGTAATTTTCTTTTCTTGTATGTTTTAAGGATTTTTTTTATCATTTATTGCATAAATTGTTTTAATTGTCATTGTTGTTGCTGTTACGTGCTTTTGAGTCAGTTCCAACTCATAGCAACCCTTTGTAGGCTTTCCAAGGAGCAGCGCGTGAATTTGAACCACTGGCCATGTGGTTCAAACCGACCTTGCAGTTCCAGTGGTTCACCCACAGCACTACACCAGGACTGGTATTTTCATATATGTATTAGTCATACTTCTAGAGGTGCATCTCTGATCTCTGGGACCTCCTTAACACTGCTGACACTGGATTTCACCACCTCAGCTCAGACTGTTATCTCCTTTTCCTTCTTGTAAGAGTTACCTAACTGAATAACTTCTTCGCATCCTATACGGTGCATGGGAATGACATTAATCATCATTTTTTTGTTTGTTTGTTTAAGTTCTGAACCTACTAACTACATGGGCAATACAGGAACACTGATAATTTTTTATTTTCAGATTGATATAAAATCAGAAAGACTGACTCTCTAAGTCTTGCTATTTTCAACGGAGGGTGTCTCCTAGGAGTCACTGGTCCATCAACCATGCATAAGTCCAGGGCAAATGGAAGGCCATCTCATGACTGTCTGGCAGTGCATCCATTTTGACTCATAGCAAGCCTACAGGACAGAATAGAATTGTCCCTTTAGGATATCCAAGATGTGGCACCCTAGAATAAGCACTGAACGTCTCACTACAAGGTCAGCAGTTCAAACCCACCAATTGCTCCCTGGAGATCCTATTCAGGGTCACTATGAATCAGAACCCAACTTGATGGCACTGAACAACAAACAACAACAATCTCTATGAAGCAGATCATCATGTTCTTCCCATGGAGCAGCTGGCATGTTCAAACCAGGGAATTTCTGATAAGTAGCTGAACCCTTATAACTACTATACCACCAAAGCTACTGAATGAAATGTCTGCCACTGTCGTTGAGTCAAGTCTGACTCAGCTTCCCTACAGTGCACAGTAGACTTTCCCCACAGGGTTAAATATCTGTGGAAGCAGTCTACCTCACTTTTCTCCTGGGGAGCACCTGGTGGCTTCAAACCACTGAATTTTTGGTTAGCAGTTCAACACTTAACCAACTACATCACTAGGACTACTTGGTGGAAGGCCAATGGTTGTGAAATACAGAAATCCAAATGCACCTAGCATCAACCAACCCACAGGTTGTCGCTACAACTCTTTTTTTACAGGATGACAGTAAATATAAATAGAAAAAATCATTTAAAGATTAAATTGTGATTCAAAGTCCAACGTAAGGATTGGATTAAAAACAAAAATATTAGCAATTTTTTTGAATGTATACTTCAGAGTTGGTCCTTCACCTCAGACAAGTGTATATGGCTGGCACTTCTAATATCTGCAGATTGTGAATGTCTTCTCTCACATTGGGAGCGCGGTGGCTCCATACCATAAACACTGTACTATGAACCACAAGATCCATGGTTTGAGCCTACCATCTGCTCTGTGGGGGAAAGATGAGGCCTTCTGCTCCTGGAAACCCTATGTAAGGCAACTATGAGTTGGAAACAACTTGTCGGCACTTAACATAAAAACTATCTCTGACATTTTTGCCATACCTAAATTTGATCTTCACTCTATTTTGTAGTATTTCAAATGTACTTTATGTTTTCAAATGCATTTTAGTTTCTTTGGAAATATAACTAATTTTTCTATTGCTTTCAAAGATCCCTCAGGGGGTGGAAATATAGGGTGGGAATACCATCTTACTACATTCTCTTAATGTATTTTCTAAGAATTCTGTCAATTTCAGATATGAGAAGGTGGAAGGGACTAGGTAATGGTGGCTCTGGACAGTTCAGCTGAGAGCAGGGATAAAGTATTGAGGGATGGAGAAAGGATGATCTGAAAAGTGGGAAAATATTCACACAGACAGCTGGGAACTTACGCTGGGCTTTGTACATAGAAGGTTTAAAGCATTAATAATGAATGAATAAATTGAATGGACTCACACATACACTACTGGGATATTTCCTTGCAGGGATTCATGGAGTCAGATGCTGGTATCAACAAAACAGCTGTTACTGAGTTCATACTACTGGGCCTAGTAGAATCAGAACAGCTGCAGTCCGTGGTCTTTGTACTCTTCCTCTTTGCCTATGTGGTCACAGTCGGGGGCAACCTCAGCATCCTGGCAGCCATCTTGGTGGAACCCAAACTCCACAC